TGAAGTACGGGAGGAAGGGGTCAAGGCTGCGTGTTACCATCGCTGTGGACACCGATGAGCCTCTTTTCCTTTCTGCTCTGCAGTGTATCATGCTCAGAGATGGAGCTTGCACTGTACCTGGAATCCTTAGCTGGCCTAACCTTGAAACTGCTGTCCAGGGCAGGAGGCAGCTCTCCCGTCAGTCTGTGACCCCTTCTTTGCTCCAAGCCCATTGCTCAGGTCATGACAAAGTAGCTGGTCAGCTTGACCGGGGAACAGGAGATCTAGGACACCCTTCTAACTTCTGCCAAGAAGGTCTGTGAGGCCTGGGCCATTGTGGCAGACTGAGAGCCTGGGTGGTGTGAATGTTGTGGGGGTTAAGATGGGAAACACAGACTAGGGTCAGATGGAAGGGGAGGAGGACCTCCCTATCAGCGGACTGGGGGAAGGGCATAGGAGAAGAAGAGGGAGGGAGGGTGGGATTGGGAGGGGATGGGAGAGGGGGCTACAGCTAAGATGCAAAGTGAATAAACTCTAATTAATAAAAATAAAATAAAAATTAAAAAAAATGAAACACTATCTAAAGGTGTAAGAGGCACCTTTAAGGGATCAGTGTTTATTGAACTCACATGATTCTCCCCTAAACCTTAGGCCTAGATGCTGTTACAAAGCCTATGCTATAGAAAAGGGAAATGAGGTGCAGTGTTAAGTAACTTTCCCAAAGACACACGGAAGGGTGGTGGCAAAGCTAGAATGTAACCAAACAATACGAGTTTGGGTTTCCATCTTCTCAACACTGAACGGAGGAAAGTGACCTCACAGCCCACGGTGACTGGGGTTGACTTCCTCAGTTGGGAAATGGATGCTAGGGAAAGCTCGAGAGGCTGCGACTTAGGGTCAATACCTGCAGAGGTGAAGTGGGGGTTGTGGCGGGCATGCTCTGTCGAGAGACAGCGTGGCGGAAACAGGTGTACGGCGAGCAATGTTCCCCTTCACTTCTTTCACTGCCACGGTTCAGAAAAGCAACCTCCACTGCCTCCATCTTCACCGCCCCATTCGCAATGCCATCCCTATCACACCCACAAGCACCCCCACCACTACTGCACAGCCGTTCTTCCCCATCAAGGCAGAAGAAAGTGTACAAGGGTGGCAGATGGGTGGGTCATCACCAGAGTGGATCACTATGAAACAATCAAAGTCTAGGTGTGTGAAAGGGTCTCGCTGCGCAGCCAAGGCTAGCCCTTGAGTTCATAGCAGTTCTTCCATCTCAGTCTCTCAAGGAATGAGGTTGCAGGTGCTAGCACCACACCCAGAAAAATCCCGACAGGCAGAGCAGGGTCACTGAAGACACGGATTTCCGGGGAAGGCTCTCACACAGTTCCCGGACTAGGCTCACTTCAACGGTTAGTTCCCAGCTAACGATCTCCATCACAGTGATGAGGTCGGGAAATGAGGCATACAACGTGACTAATATGGCCGTCACCATGCCGTGGATAAGTTCTGGGGCTCAAGTCCAAATGTTCAGAGTCCTGAAGGTTGAGATTTAACTTTAACACCTGATACTGAGTCATGCCAGAAAAAGCTTGTAATATAACTCCTTCGTTTCCTTCACTATCGATAGTCAGAAAAGCCTACACGACTGTCTCCATCTTTACCACCCCACCAGTGATATTACCCCTGTCACCCTCGATATCACCACCACCACTGCCATCACTATCACTGTCACTCTGAGCATCGATACTACCACCATCCTGAAAACCACCATCACCACTACCTCTGCCATCGCCATCACTACCACCATCACAACTCACCACCACCACCACCGTTACCGCTATTCAGTCATCACTAGCCATGAACAATATTGTCGCTTCTTGGCGGTATTAAAACCTTGCTCTAGGAAGACGACAGACTGGAAAGCAGTAGAAACCTTTCCTAAATAACAGTTGCACGTGAAGCTGATATGACCGTCTGAATGCTATGGTTTAGCAAAGGCTGGCCAGGTACAGGCTCACTTAGATGGCTGATTTTGGTCAGTTTCAGCTGTTAGCACCATAGCAGCCACGTATTTCCCAACTCCTACTCCTGGGGCAGACAGACAGTTATACAAGTCATATGTACAAGGAAGCAGCTCGTATACAGCTTTGGGGGGGGTCGCGGTCTGGGAGAGGCAACAGGACTCTGTTCTCCAAAACTTAGGGCTCTGTGTTCTCATGGGAGATAGCATCTTCTCATCTTGGAGCTGAAGATACAAGCAGTCAGCCATGTAAAGGTGCTTCCAGGTGATTAAATGGGCTGAGTCTTTTATCTCCATCTCCTTTATCTACTTTCATTTGTCTCTTCTGTTCTCCCTTCTGAAGCCATCTAAGTGATGCCCCCCCCCCCCGTATGTAATTCCACCATCTGTAGGCCGAGACAGGGATCCCTGGAGCAAGCTGGTCTGACTAGCCCTGTCAGTGAGCTCCGGGTTCAGTTAAGAACCCTTGCCTCAGCGAGTAAGGTGGAGATGGATCGAGGAAGACTCTTGCTGTCAGCCCCGGGGCCTCCATGTGTGAATGCCCACCAGCTCACATGTGTGTGCACGCACATACACACATGCATACCACACAAATACGCAAAAAAAAGAGATGGAGATTGGCAGAATTTTCTTTAAAAAAATAATCCAACTATGCACTGTCTGTCAGAGACTCACCTTATCTGTCTGTCTATCACAGCCATTCTCAACCTGGGGTCATGACCTCTTTGGTGAACCTCTCTCTCCAAAAATATTTATATTATGGTTCACAACAGTAGCAAAATGACAATTATGAAGCATCAACTAAAACAATTTTATGGTTGGAGTCACCACAATAAGAGGAACTGTATTAAAGGGGAACAATTGATCTATAGTCTATGTATGCATGTATGTATGTATGTATGTATGTATGTATGTATGTATGTATGTATCTATCTATCTATCTATCTATCTATCTATCTATCTATCTATCTATCTATCAAATCCTAGGCCTTACACATTCTAGATACATCTTTCCTACTAAGGCACACCACCCTAGCCAAAAATTCTCTTCAGATACAGAGCCATAAAAGGGCTAAAAGTGAATGGGCTGAAAAAGAAAGAATGCAGAACACTGTGGGCAGAAGGAAGCCAGATGACTACTTTGTCAGACAGAAACAAACCAGAAGAATTGACTCTAGATAAAGAAGGTGTCCCTTAAAGGTACAATACAGTAAGAGGATGTATCGGTGACAAATATTTGCATACCTAGTAACGTGCCCTCAGAACAGATGTGAACGAAAGGGAATTCTGCCAAATAAAACAAGCCAGGCAGAAAGAGGCTGAGCTGGGAGTGTGGCTAGAGTGGCCAGAGCTCACACCTAGCATGCACATGAGTTTCATGACAGTTCTGCAGAAAATGGCCACGGTGGTGTCTTCCTGTAATCCCAACACTAGAGAGGCAGAGGCAGGAGGATTAGACATTCAAAAGCTCCCTCAGCTACATAGCGAGTTCCAGGTTGGTGTGGTCTACCTGAAACCCTTGAGAGGTCCCTGGAGGATTCAGATCCATAGAGAAAGAAAGTGGGATGGTGGGTCCCAAGGTCTGTAAAGGATGATGAGGTTTCAGCATGTGACAGTGACAATTTCCGTCTGGGGAGATGGAAAACTTTCTGTGGATGAATGGATGGTGGTGGCTCAACATTAAAGCGCTTACTGTCACTCAACAGTTTAAAGTAGTTACAACGGTGAGGTAGATGCTTGTGTGTGTTTTACTACCATAATAAAATATTATTAAAAACAAAATCATTATGCTGGGTGTAGCAGTGCACTCCTGTGCTACCAGCTCTTTGGAGGTGGAGGGAGGAAGATCAATAGTTCAAGGCCAGCCTGGGCTACGAGAGACCAAAACAAGAACACTTCCAGGAAACAGATGGACCTTGTTCTAGTCCCACATCCTATAGAAGACTGCATCAGATCACAGTGACTTTGGTCCCAGAGACTATGGGTCCAGTAGGGATGGGCCTGGGTCTGACTGTGGGGTGTGGGTACAAATGTTGACCATTTTAGTCCACTCACATCCCTACCCTGCTCGATGAAGTTGACGCTTGGGGACATCCAAGGCTGGCATGAGGCCTCCAGCAGTGGGGCTGGAAGCTGAAAGGGCTCTGTCGTCCATTCTGTGGCAGAACTTAACTCCTTTTGAGGAGCCCCTGCACTTGCCATTTGATGATAAGCATAAGGCAGGATCTCAGCACTGGGCCCACTTCTCATTGGTTCGCTTAGTCAAGGGGATGCCCAATGGTTTAGCCACTCATGGCAGCTAAGACCACAAATCTAACAGCCTGAGATAATGCTATGTACCTATTCCTTACACTTCTGAGGCCAGGTGGGTGGTCCTCTGGGAGAAAGTTGCCACCTCAGCAGAGGCGCACACTCCTGTTCCTGATGTGTTCTAGAAGCTTTCCTGATGTATTCTCCTTCTTGTGTCTGTCCTCAGCCCACATGCCCTGTCTTTGAACCCTCCAGCCTCATGTGTGTGTGTGTGTGTGTGTGTGTGTGTGTGTGTGTTCATGTGTACATGTGGTATTCACATGTGTGGACATAAACGTGTGTGCATATTTATGGACGCTAGAGATCAAGGTCAGCTGTGGGTCCTGTACACATTCTGTCTATGTTTCTGTGGTCTCTGTGTCTGTCTGTCTGTTTCTATCTTTGAGGCAGGGTCTCTTACTGGCCTGGAGATTACCAAGTATGCTAGACTAACTCTGTCACTGCCCCCACAAGCCTCAGTGATCCTTCTGTCTCTACTTCTCTAATGCTGGGATTATAAGCACATACCTCCAAGCCCAGCTTTTCAGGTGGCTTCTGCGGCTCAAACGCGCGAGTGTCATGCTTGCAAACCAAAAACTCTGCTGACTAAGCCATCTACCCAGCCCTCCGCCTCACTCCTATGAAGGTCCCATCATAACATTTTAGGGCTCCTGGTGCTATCTTCCCATGCCTCAATCTTGATTTTATTCCTTTCTAGTGAATCACCTTTGAGTGAGTGCACCCACACTTCCTACCTAAGCTTGGTCCGTGGACAGCTCCGAGTGGTCTGTAGACCTGAGGACTTCCTACTCTTCTGTGTAGGTTGTCTAGAGAACCAACACAACAAACAGGCCTTCTAGTCTGGCAGGTATGTCTGGTCAAGGTGTTATCCAAGTCTCTTATCAGGAATTTGCCTCACTGGACTGACTCCTTAGTCCCGAGAAGGTAATGATAGCAGCAGAGTGGCTGAGGTCACACAGCCTTCAATCTTAGGCTGTTTCTCTGAGAATTGTTATGCGGTCACCCACTTCCCTGGGAACACGAGCGTGTGTATAAGGCTCTCAGCAGATGGAGGGAGAGATGGTTCAAGAGGCTGCGCTGTCTGGCTGATGGCGAAGGTCTGGGCGGGATGTGGCCCTGACGCTTGGGTTTCCTATGAGCCCTGCACCTGCCTACACACTGGCAGGCTGGGATGGGTATGTTCACTGGCCTGCCTGAATATTGCTGGGTCCCTAGGAGGGTGACGGCTGTCGCTGTGCATAGGGAGGTAGACACGAGCCTGTGGCACAGAGGGGTACTTTCTTTTTCTTGGAGCCTCAAGTCTGTTAGGGAAAACAGTCTGTTATCAGCAATGGGCAGATACAGCCACCATGGGGAGGAAGCCCTGACCCTCAGTGTGACCTGGCTGGTCCCTTCTCCCTTTGGGCTCCCCCCCCCACCTTTTTGCCATCAAATGGGGACTAAACATACATATGGAATACTAGAAGTTGGAAAGAAAGAACAATTGCTGCACTTGGCATTCTTGAATATCCTCACAGAGCCAGTGATCAGCCAGGAAAACACTAACCCCCTTCCAGCTTCCTGTCTCTCAGAATACCCAGCCTGCTGCTTCCAATGTCCCCAGCCCACCGACACCAGCATCTCCACTTCATTAGTCCCCAATGTCTCCATCTCACTAATGCTCAGCATTCCCAGACCCTTGGGAGGATCCCCACTCCACTGGCACCCAGCACCCCAGTCCAATGATACCCGACATCCTCAGCCCATTGGCATCCATCATCCTCATCCCACTGTTGTACATGGTGTTTCCTCTCTTTTCCTCTTATGGACTAACATCATTATGGATTCTTTTCCCGTCCCCTGGCAGGCCAGGGAAGGTGACCTCACCGGACTTACTGGAGGAGCTGAGAGATCCAAAGGGGACCTGAGAACACGAGGGGAGAAAATGTCATCTACACATCAAGGGGTTGAGCTTTTGAGTCGCTGTCTCCTGTGGGCACTGTGATCTGGGGCTTTTTTTTCCTACAGCGTGAGAGGACACTCTTCTGGTGTTTCAGCCTTGCCTGGAACATTTCTTAAGATGGTCAAGGAAGAGACAATGGTACCTGGATGATGGTCTGGCAGAAATAAGAGCAGCACAGCTGTCTGGGGTCGGGGTTCGGGACTTTGCAGGGAGAAGGAGAAAGGGGGGATGGGTATTGGGCAGATGGTTTGGAGAGCTGGACAAGGCAGTCTTGGAGGTATTTACCTTACACACCCAGACATGACACATGTAGGTAGTCAGGGGTTAGAGAGGGACCAAAGCCCCACCCACTGAGCAAGAGAGACTATAAAGACTGTGTCCCCAGTACTAGCTGGATACAGACATAAGCTCTGCTTGTCCCCATTGCCCAAGATGAGGATTCACCTGCTTTGGTTGCTGCCTCTGATTCTGCTGGGGTCCTCAGGTGAGCCAGGAAGTGGGTACCCCTGTCTTAGGTCACTGGAGCCCATGAAGACTCTGACTGGCACCCAGAGGGGTAGGATGACCTGGATGGACCTGCCCTCCAGATGATGTGGTCCTGATGTCCAGAGGAGGTGCTGGCTCAGGGAACAGGACTTGTTGGAGGCTCCACAGCCAGGTTTGCTTGAGCTGAGAGTGGGACCATAGTCCAGCCATGGAGTCATTTCCTGGATACCTTCAGTCACCTTAAAATTCTTTTATGATATTCTCTGTCTCTGTCTCTGTCCCTCTGTCTCTGTCTCTATCTGTCTCCAACTTGTTGGAACTTATTCTCTTCTGCTGTGCGGGTTTTGGAGATTAAACTCAGGTCATCAGACTTGGCAGCAGGTGCCTCTATCCACTGAAGCATTTTACTGGTGCTCCGCCTCCCTCCCTGACCCTTCACCTTTTCTATCAAGCCTAGACGTTCTGCTGGACTTGCACGGTCTCTCCTGCAAAGTCTTGTGGAATTAGCATCACGTATCTGGTGACATTTGCCCTGCTGGTTACTCAGAGCCTTGGTTTCCTGTCCCAGAGACAGGGCCCTATGCTCTGGCTCTTCAGCGCCGCTGCTGAGAGGATGCTCATGTGGGAGGTGGGAAAACAGAAGGAGTGGTCAGTGCTTCCCACAGAGCTGAATCCCATGTTGTCTGGTGTGGCGTCCCTGATCCCAGCTGTGTCTCTCCAGCTCAGGCGCTGCGGTGTCATGAGTGCAGTGGCGAAGGGAACTGTTACAACCCCACGTCCTGCAAGAACACAAGCCGCTATTGCTTGACCAGTTGGTACAGTGAGTATCTCGGTCCTAGGTGGGTGGAATGGGGGGGGGGCAAGACCTGCATCTAGCACCTGGGGATGCCAGCATAAGGCGAAGCTCACTGGTAGAATTGGGGGAGCTGGGAAGATATGGCCCCGAGAGTCCCCTGCAATTGTTCAGGAGAGTGTTTTGGGAGCTCTGTCTTCCCTTCAAAATGGAACCAACATGGCTGCCTTACAAAGAGTGGGTAGGATATTCCATGTGAGCCACTGTATGAAACGTGCGATTGTATAAAACGTGCAATTTTAACTGTTGTCAAGAGTGCTGGACCCTCAAAAAGGAAAGACGGAAGGGAGTGGGTAGCCCTAGTCATATACCTGAGCCATGACCTCGGGTCCTACACTGAGACCCAACTGTGGTCACACCCTGAGCCTTGATCTTCATCACACAGAGCCCTGACCTTGGGTTACATACTAAGCCTTAATCTTGACCACATACTGAGCCCTGAACCTGACCACATTCTGACCACATCCTGGTCACAATCTGAGTTTGATCCTACTGACATCTTGCTGTCTGTCCCTTTTGAACTAGAGGTTGTAGGTGGCCTGGCTTTGCTGATGGGGCCTGGAGTTGGTCTTTTAGGCCTCAGTAAATGTCCTTCTGCCCTCTCGTTCCAGCAACCCCAGGCCACCAAATGGACGTGTTAAAAACATGTGCATATACCTGCCCTGACATCCATCAGAGCCAGATCAAGGCCTCCTGCTGCAACACGGACCTCTGCAACAGTACTGTGAGACTCCATGCCAGCTGGGGGCTGCTGACCCTCAGCATCTGGTGCATCTATTTCAGCAAATAGGTGCGGAGCTTCCACTCATGCCCACAAGCTGCTGAGTTGGGAGTTTGGGGCCATGTGCCATCATGTGACTGGAGTGTTTCAGAGCTTCCTTAACTCCAATCAGAAGGATTAGAAGAGATAAAGCTCACGGACATGGGGCCTTAGTCTGATGGAGATCCTTGCCACTGTTCAGGGTGCTGCATTCAGAGCTCTGTCTGCAGGCTGGCCATCCACTACCCTCCAACTGCTGGTGCAAGGAAGCCTTGAACCAGTTACTGGGGCCTGAGGTAGGCCCCTCGGCAGGCCCAGGGAGCTATTTTGGAGGCTTCTTTGTTTCACACACCCCATGGCTTCCTCTCTCTAACTACCTCAGAGGACCTGAGCCTGCACATCACCGCATTAAAAGAGCTGACCCCGGCACAATACTGAAATGCGCTGCTTTAACTGAGTTCAAAGCCCCGTGGCAAGCGGAAACCCTATGGAGAGGTCTCCAGCCTGGCTGTCGGGGAAAGGCAGATGGTGGGACAGATTTGCTTGAACAAGGTGTGGGTCAGCCCTGGCATCCGCAGGGCTGGCACATGGAATGCCAGTGATGTAGGTTATAGCCCCAGCATACCTTGCTGGGATGGACTCTGAGGATTCTATCCTGGGATGACACCAGTCTTATCAGGACTTCAGGAGTCCCCGTGAACTCCCGTCTGTCCTGGAGCAAAGAGAATCCAGAACTACGAGGGCAAGGAGCAGGCTTGGTCCAGCTGTGAGTGAAGCCTGAAGCATTTTCTCCCTTCTCTACCTATGGTCTGGTGCCAGGACCCCACCAGACAGCACTAAGGCTGTATCCTTTCAGTGCGTGCCTGCCTCTCTCCTCATATCTGAAAGCCTGGGCAACACCATGCCCTGATGAAGAGAATGAATGCGGGAATTAAAGTCTGGGCTGGCAGCAGTTTTGGTGGGTGACCCCACTGGCCGGATTCTCCCTAACTTCCCAGATCCATGTTTAGAGCAGAGAGTGAGTTCAGGCTTGTCATTCGCTTCACAGCCTCGTTCCATCCCAGGGACTTTCTGTGGTGTTTTCCATAGAGTGTGCCTGATGGCAAGCTGCCCACGTGGTTCTGCTACCTCCTTATTGCACAAGGGTGAGGTACTGGATCAGTGTGCTGGGGACCGAGAGAGGGCTGAATTCAAGTGACCTCTCACTCGTCACCTTACCAGGTGCCAAAGAGCGATGACACTAGTTAAAGGAGGCAGATGGGCTGCTCCTGGACATATGGCCGGTAAGGAAGAGCAGAACTGGTGGATGAGCTCAGAATCTTACTTGGTGCAGGTCTCAAGGGTCCTAGAAAACAGCAGGCCTCTGCTGAAGAGTAGGGCTTGGAGCTAAAATTTGGTAAGCTATAGGTTCTTCCTTCGTTCCTTCGTTCCTTCCTCCCTTCCTCCCTTCCTCCCTCCCTCCCTTCCTTCTTTTCTTCCTTCCTTTCTTCCTTCTCCAGAGTGCTGAGATTACAGGTGAGATTTCCATGAATGCCCTGTCCGGTTTCCAAGCTCCTCAGGTTGGTGGGCTGCTTGTGCAAAGTATCCTGTGGTTGGGGCCTCATCAGTCATGCTTTTTCCAGAACGCAGGCATTTGCTGGCTTTCTTGGCAAAGTGTGCACATGCTGGGGACCCACGGCCACTGAGCTGCCCACACACAAGGTCAATGCCACAGAGGTCTGGAGACTGGGTCAGGGGGCTGGGTATTCCACAGGCTCCGGGCGCCTTGCGCACAAATTACTTCATTACAAGTGCCCATCCTTCAAGCACTCACCAAAGGATGGTTTTCCTTCTGCTTCTCACATCCCATTACCCACTGGTAGGACAGATCCGGCTTGAGGGAGGCCACCCCATGCTGCCACTTACTCCCACGTCTTCAGGCACAGACCTTAATTTCTCAGGGCTTCTAGTTGCTTAACAATAAAATGAGAATACATGGCTTTGGGTCAAAAACATAGAAACAACAAATTAAGGCTCAAGGATAGATGGTTCAGAGAGTAGAGGGCTCGCTTGGCATTGTGGGTATCGCTGGTGTCCGTCCTCAGTGCTGTGTCAACTGAACATTGTGGTGCCCGCCTGTAACCCTGGAACTGGAAGCAGGAGGGCCAGAAGGTCAAGGACATCTTTGTCTTCAAAGCAAATCTAAAGGCACACGAGGCCAAGCCAGTGAGACTGTCTCTAAATAGATAAATAAACAAACAAAGCTATACTACCATATAGTCTCAATTTATGTCCAATTTGCATACCCATGCAGTTATCTGTTATTCGTTGCTGCCATACTGTTAAGATCTCTGCAGCGCTGCTTTGCAGAGATGAGGAGGGCTAGAGCGGTTGAATGACAGGGCCGGGCTGTGTGGCCGCTCGCAGAACTGGAGCTGAGCATCTCTTAGGCAGTGTGCACCTTGAGGGCCTCTGATAGGTGCTCACTGACGCTTCCCCCCGCCCCCCCCCCCCCACCGAGTGTGTGTGGTGTGCGGAGCTATGTGTTAGAGGGTTAATCGTCTGTCAGGTGATGCTAATCAGGTGCCGAAGGTCAAAGGAGTTTCTCAGTGCCCGTGCCAATCCCTGATTGTCCTAGAAAAGGAAGGGCTGCTGAAGTCACCGGAGCGAATTGCCATCAGTCAGTGCTTAGCTTCTGTCCGGAGGGCTCCTCCCTTGTCAACCATTATCTCTGTGAGTCAGTGTAATTGATTTCTCAGTTCTCTTGAATTTCCTGTTCCTTATCTTATCTGTGATAATTTTTTTTCTTTTCTCTTCTTTTCTTTTTTAAAGCAACTTCTGAGGGTTCTTGGGATGAAGGTCTTCTGATTACCAAACTGATTTCGTCTTTTGTTTGAAACGGTTCATTCCATCCTCTTGAATAGACACTGAGCTGGACTTCAATTGCCATGTTGATGGCCATGCCCCCTTTGTACGTTTCTTGTATTATGCCACCAGCTGTGGACATTTAATGGTTCTGTTAAAGCACATTTTAGGTCCATTTGTGTTTTCTTCCTATGGGACTTTTTTTTGTTTGTTTGGTTTTGGTTTTTGGTTTTTTGAGACAGGGTTTCTTTGTGTAGCCCTGACTGTCCTGGACTTGCTTTGTAGACCAGGCTGGCCTTGAACACACAGAGATCTGCCCGCCTCTGTCTCTCTGAGTGCCACATCTGGCTTTCCTATGAACTCTTAATGTATTTGGTTCATTACTGGCCTTCTGTGCAGACACTGTAAGAGTGTTGGATCTTATACACATTTGTTCCTGGATTTTGGCAAGATTGACTAAACCACAGCCCGCTTTATACTGACAC